TTTATTTATTGCGAAATATAACGAAATTTAATAACTACATATATATATTGATTCTCTGTATTTTTTGTTTCATATCTAGAACTATATATATTTAGAAGATTATTTTTATAAATTGTTTGCTCGCGTAACATTATAGGTTAGATAGATAGATTGAATACATCCATGTCTTGATTTATTTAATTTATTTATGAAATGTGACATGAACGTTTAATAATTGCATATATATAGATTTTCTATATGCTTTGTTTCATATCTAAAACTAATTATATTTTTATAGATTATTTGCTCGCGTGACATTAAAGATTAGATAGGTATAGAAATATTACAGAGAAAGATTTAATTTCTTATAATAACAAATATTTATAATGTAATTATCTTCATTAAAGAGAATATAGAGATTTGATATATTACATTACAGATGATGTCAGAACAATAATATCTTTATGGAATCATAATAAGAATAACGCCTTCAAACAACGAATAAATTTAATTCCGTTCAGTCGTTTAAACATAACTGTGATAGATATTCCATCGGATATTTGGTTTATTATATTACAAATTCATACATTTCAATATAATGCCACGATAGCTTATGACAAAGAACTGCTTGATAAAGTGTCAAACAGAAGTCTATTTGGATCAAACATTGGTCTGTACTTAAAAACACATAACGTAACAACCCCAATACAGGTATTTTTGAAGCACTATAATTTACATAATCTCGATGCATTACTCACGATTGTCGCATACGATCGAAATGGTAAGTAGAAATAATATTAATTAATTATATTTATATCTTTCTCTCACATTTTCCTTTTCCGAGCAACATTTAATCGAATTAAATCTGACACGAAACGGTGTCAATTAAAATAATATAAAATTAATAGCCATATTATAAGATAATTGTATGCAAGGTAATATTATCTGCTTGATAAAGACCGAAAAATTATATATTATAGTAAATTAAATAGCCGTACGTGATGTTGATCGCGCGATAGCACGTGTAAATCGTAAATCACATCAAGATATGTATTCGATTAATTTGCGAATACATTTCCATTATCAGTCGTGTGTAAATGGGTTGAATAGCTAATCGTTTTCAACGGTGAACGTAATGGCAAAATTGGTTGAGTATCGAGAGAATTCCACCAACGTCGTTCATTGGTCGATTATTGTTCTCCGCAGCACCGATACCGGGTGGATGTAACATGGAATTCGATATTGAGATTGCGCCGTATCAAAAGTTGCGTACAGAAAATGAAATGATAATAGTCGATACACAGCCAGCCTCGATGCTCGGTGATAACGGCTTGCCGACCCTATGCGAAACGAATCCGGTGCAACACAAAATGTACCGTCTTTATCTGCCTAGGCAGGATTTTACTCCGGACACATATTTCGAGGCGATCACGAGTATGCTGACTACGCAAGACATTATACAGAATGGCGACGAGGTATCTCATGTTACTCATCTGGACCGATAAATTTCAATTCTAAAAGATTCGTAGAATTATTAATATTTTACAAAAGAGTACTTATTTATTCAAATATTTTGACGCACAAACAAATGCATAATTTAGAATTTTTATAGTAATAAATATTTTAATATCATTATATTCCAGCTTGAGACAATAAATATTGTAAATGAGAATTTTTCATGTAATTGTACTGTAACATTTTCTCCATGTAGAATAGGTAAATCTACAATATAACAATGATTAGCCGATAGAGAGAGAGAGAGACAATTAATGAAGAGTATTGAATCTTGACTTTTTTCAGAAAAATATAATATATCACTTTATAATTTATAATTAAAAAGAATCAACGTATGTGTGATTAGAAATATTTCTTACTAGATACCGCCTATCCTTACGAGTGCTATGAGACGTATTTACAGTGCATATACTGGTACAGGATCTATTTATGCCGCAATTGCCATACATGGCAATTATTCTTCGGCTTATATCCCGATTTTTACATATGCTTGCAGCCCGTTACTATATCCAGAAACTTGTCAAGTTTTAAGTATGTTTCATTTCACAAATTTTTCTTTTAGCCACAAGTTTATATTTTTTATAATAATAATGAATGTAGTGAGTCGTATTTGAAATGTTATATATTTCTGTCGGAGACATATATATTTCTCACGGTAATAAAATCATTTTTTTAACGAATCAATAATGTAATAGATGGATTATTTCGGGAACAATAAATTTTCTTTATTTTTTCAGATTTTTCTCTCTAGTTTTCTAACGAAGTATTTTTAATTGTCATGGCGAGATTATGAGATTATCCGTCTTTTTATGTCTATAAATTGATCAAATAATTATTTGTTGTTTCATTGTTCTTTTAGATGACACGTTTGCAAAGATGATTTGCGCGTTGGTTCTAATCATAGGTTTTCTCTTAATTATTATCGGACATAAATATACTTATATAGATCGTTTAATAACGAGTTGTATGATGGGTGGTATTTTTGGATACACTCTGGCGATAGGCATCAGTGATTACAGCACTACAAGTAATTATACAGCTTGTATTCTATTCAAAATTCCAATGAAATGATATATATTAAATATATTAACTTACCTCGAATTGCACACAGGTTTTCATGGTTGTTGTCTTTTGCAGTTAACATTCTAATAGGTTCAACATCTGCCATTCTTGCTGTAACCTTATCGGCGTTTTTACGTCCGGCTTGCGAATTATGTACGTTCTTAAGCAATTTACCATTGGGATTTCTGTGTGCATGCATCGCATACCTCTACGCTCCAGGTACATATTATATTTTGAACAGAATCGCATTTCATAAAATAATTACAAGGTTTGTAACATTAAAAGAATAAGAAAAATATAATTTATTTTACGCGCTCGGTCCTAGGGGGTAGTTTTCGTGTTTAACTATTTTTTTCCGCGTGAATGAAAGATAATTTATTTCTCTCATAGATAGCTATCGTCTGATATTATAAGTCTTGTAACTTCACGAAATACGACTCAGGATGTAGCATACGTGGAAAGCGAAGGCGGGAACCGTAGCCTCTCCACGCCGCGGTGTTCGCGAAGGGCTGTTGCGAATTATAGGAAAATAATGAAAGCCAGGCTTAAAAGCGGAGGGATAGAGCGCGCGACCGTGGGTGGGAGCTACCGCCGCTACCCCGAAGTTAGTTCGAGTTTGGCGAAGGGATGAGAGGCGCACAGTCAGTTTCTCCCCGTAGCTTCTATCAATGCTGGCCGCTCATGTGGAAACCTCGCCCGTCGAATCCCCCCATGCAGAAGCGGTATAGCGCATTCACGTTGCCTCCCACCTTTCTCACCATAACGCCGCGACTACCCTTCGCCACCCTCGCCTAAGCACGAAACGCAAAAATGCGTTCATCGCCGCGCGCGGGATTGCACACACGCGCACGTAACATCGGTCTCCCCCCTTACGGTGCGAACTCCCACGGCACGGTATAACCAGCTTGGAAGATTCACATTTACCTAATTGTGTCCCCGTATTTATTCTGCGCCGGGACCTATTTAGATTACACGATGCGTGTATACGCAACTGCACAGGCCGATCTATCCCGTCGACAGATGATCGCGATCGTTGTTTACTTTGAGCCGACCATTCGGTCACGCCGATGTTAAAACGCACGATTATGCTGTTACGGAAAGCATCCGCTCGTTCGTTAATTAGATCGTCGAAATTTTCGCGTGCGATTTTGGCACACGTTGAAATTATGACGAGAAAAATGAGTATTGAATTTGTTATTTTTTTGTAGTATGGATGTTTTATATTCTGGAACGTGATTGGTTATTCTGGCCTATGTTCGTAAGCTTAATGCTTACAATAGCTGTACTTCTGACAAAAATGCCCTACATCGCGGGAATAATCACGCGTGTCGTTTTTGGATCTTATTTCGTGATCATCGCTATTGATTATTATACCGGAAGTAATTTGAAGTATATTATTCTTACTTTTATCAGGAGAGTCACGATATCTGAGTTTCGTTTAGCATTTGTATATCCGCCATATCAACATGCAGGTATGCTGCTTTTTTATGTATAAAAATAATTCGATATTGACAGTATTTTGTTGAGACCAATTATTTTCAGATGTAACCTTGATAATTATCTGGTTTGTGCTGATAATAGCACAATTTTTTATACAAGGATGCGCCAAATTATGTGGAAAAATGTCTGGGGAACTGGTAGAATCTGCAGGAAACAACACAGAAACAACAGTTTTGATTCCAAAAAAAAAAAAAAAATTTTACAGCCGTCGATATTATCGAAAGCCATATAATCGATATAATCTGTTATAACAACATATATATCAATATTGTTTAAATAAACTATAAGATTTAAGTTTCTCGAATTTGTGTTGAGATTTATTATTTTCACGCTAGATACTAAAAACAATTATTTGCAATAATTTTGTTTATCCTCGTGAACAGTTGGTTTCAAATCATATTTCAATTAATAATATACAAAGATAAACAGGTATAAATAATGTATAATACAAACCTGTTTTGTATTCATATCATTTTGTACTAAATATAAAAAAAAAATGTAATGTTTGATTATGATTATATGTAACAATGATGTGCAACATTTACATTTGATAAAATGTATTTGAAATTGTATTTTTTTGTTTATTTTAATTTATTTTTCTTTAGAAACTGTGATATTTATTTTCATTTTAATAAGTAAAATATATGTTTTTTTACTGTAACTGATTTAAAGCATATAATGAACAATCATGAATTGTAAAAGATGAAGTTGTACATCATTGTAAATATTTTATAATATAATATAATATATTATAAAAATATATATACGTATATATACGTGTTTTTAAATATATTTTATAATATATATTTTTTATAGTTTTTTATAGTTTTTTTGTAATATACTATGTAAGAGAGAAAGAGAGAGGAGAGAGAGATTATATAATGTTTGTAAAGGACAGAGAATGTATATTAATGTTATGAATAAAGATGTGAGATGATTTGGCATTAAAATGAAATAACATTTATTGAATCGAGATAGTGACACCTAACAGTTTTCTATTTCCTACTACTTACAATCTTAAAGTTAATCACAGCAACAATATTATCTCATTATTCACAACACTTACATAGATTATACTGTCGTAATAATATATTATTCTCATTAATAAATTTGTTAATACTCATACACTGTAGTTGTTATTAGAATAGTATTATTACAGATAATAAGAAAGTCGCGTAACCACTTCCGTGTAATGTTTGTTGCAAACGTGTAACGATTAAAGCATAATTTCGCTGGAATGCATTTTACATGCATAAAATTGCGGTAACGTTCAGTTCGCAAAAGTTCTATGGAAATTCATAAAGGTAACATAATAAATGAGAGTCAGTTTAATCTACTTCTCGCGAAATGCACAGCCTGTTGCAAGTGCAGCTCCTGTTTGTAGAGAATCCCTCATAAAAACTTGTATGATACGCGACCATTCGTAGAGATGCATACTGAATTCATCTCAAAGTACTTTTTATTAATGGTGGTAAATGTCGATGATAGTGTTACAAATATTTCCAGAGTTTATTTTTTTAATTTAATCATTTCATTTCATTCCAGTAAAAAAAATGTAAATCGTGAAATAGCACATATGCATACGACACATCCAAGTTTTGATAGATTTTATTTCTGCTCTTACTGAAAGAGAAATCCGATCAAAGCCTAGAGCAAATATATGTAACTGGAAATATTAACACAAGAATGCCGAAATGTATAAAAAGAACGCCAAAATAATGTTACAATCTACTGCAAATCTTCATCGTTCTGTGGATTCTCTGAACACTAGACACTTCTTATCTTTTCTTATCTCTTTCTTTCTCTATCTTATCTTTTGAAATTATATAAGGTGGCAATATTTGTACAAACAACAAAATTATAAAATATTTTATAAATTTAACAAAAAGATTGTATCAAATTGTACATGTAATTTAATACTGAAAAAATTATTTCAAATATTTTTTTTACATTAAAAGAAATTTGTATATAACAAGGAAGTGGCATCGGCAGATTTAAATAAAAATTGTTTCTCGAACTGAAAGTTTATCATCGCGAGATTTTAAAGCGGCGACGCGTCTAGATACACCGAAGATTTTCCACTTTTAGATTTCACGCTGCTTTGTTTTTTTCATTTTCTTCCAAAAATATAAATTTACTAATATACAGTACACACACCATTTCCTCGTTAAGTGTTCTTTGCGTACAAACGTTACACAAATTTACACGTGACCTTTACGTGACCGTGTAAGCGACAACGAGAAACGAGCGACGCTTTCCTCTAGGTGGTGTAACTTTACATACTTCACACGTTACTGTTTAACACAATGTATATCGTCCATGTTTATCTATTGGCTGCTGTTTAATCGTAGAATTCGTCACCTACATTTATTACGGTGCGCGTGAGCATTGTCGATGAAACGATTGTTAAGCGTTATCGAAAAAAAATTGAATGCTTGCAAATATTCACATTGCAAGAGAAATATTGGAAATGCTGTCCCCTGAAAAAAACCTGTCGAGTTCTGGAACGATAAAATTCGAAAATATCGAGACATTCACTGTTTTCACGCCCGTTTTTTTTCACACTTACGAATCAGTGACTAATTATTCAACGCGATCGTGCGGCGCGACTCAATTACTAAAAAACGTGCATCACTGGCAATTGGTGATCGAAATGCGTCGATTAAATGTATCGCTCATACACACCTGTCGAAATACAAAAAGACCGCGCAAGCGATTGGCATTCTTGCAATTTAAAATTATACCGTTATCTAATTTATTATGCATGATGGAATTGTCAAATTTAATTTGATTACTAAAAAATTATTGCTGTAAAAATTCCATCACATAATATAATGATATGTCGCTTGTAAAAAAAGGCTGTAACTATATAACAGCAAATAATACAATTGCCTTATACACAATATATAATTCGTAAGATTACTTTCTATATTATTCTTTTAAATAATATATATGCGTGATATACTATGTAAAATTTTTGAATTTTTTGGGGTGTTCTTGTTGGTTTATTTGATATGCATCTCTATATATTGAGATCCGTTCCAAAACTCGTTTTTAAACAAAAAATTCATACAACGTGTTTCGCAAAATGATAGGTGAATAAATGTAGGCTCAGATTATTTGATTTTATTAAAGTTCTGCTGCTTCACGGTGTAAGTAACGGAGTCGTCACTTCGGTGAGGAAAAACATTGAATACACGGATAAAATGTTGCATAATCTATAAGATGGGTACGTTCGAACGTAACTGGAATTTGTATGTCTTACGTACGTGTATATACAGCGATAATTATTTCTAATTTACAGTACTGGTCTAAAGAGAGTAACAAATGCTATCTTACAGTCATCTTTATACAGCATAATCGAAAGAATGTGCTTCGATCGTGTGTGCGGCGACCTTTAACGAGTTTGATGCCGATGAAATTTCTCGTTACTGCGAGCACCAATATTCGCGATTCGCTTGAATGGACGAATCCGCCTCTCTTCGGTCCGTTAGTTCAGCGATACATTTACATTAATAACAATAAATACCGACGTGAACGTCCATGCTACTTGCCTCCTTCGGGCATTACTTTGACACTTATGAAATCTCTCTATAGTTACGTCGGTTTATTTTTTATGACTTCATACGTCACTGTGCTTTCATTATGGTAATAACGATGATATAAGCTATGGATTGGATTGTCTTAATCTAGAATTCTGTATCTTGGATCGGGATAAACATTTTTATGGAGAGACATGTATTATAAATGAGGAGTTTAAATCGAACATTTCAATCTGTTGTAGTTGCTCATAAATCTGTCAAATGGTTTACGCGAGGTTTAGAAAAATGCTATTCGTGATTCTACGTCAAGGAGATCTGAAACTTTAATATTGCTATTCTCGACATATTCTGCACACTGATCTCGAGAGATGAGAGGGAGGGTTTCACTATATTTATAATATAATCCAAAACGCGCATATGGCGACTCTTATGCATTCGCGTATCCAGTTGCATTTGCAAAACGCGATGAATCTCAACGTGAAGAACCATCCACATTAATAATAATAATAATAATAATACCTTCGAAATGCAATAAATAAACTACAAAATTTAAAAAAGACTTCTTTTTTTAAAATATAAATAAAATATATGAAACATATTATAAAAGTAAATATACACAAATGCTATTATATTTCCCTGGATATATCTTTCTGGCATTTTCCGCCGGTCGTCGATCGATATATACCGTTCACAAATGGACGTAGATAGGGGCCACAGCATCCTCTCGAGAGTGGTGTCTTCCGACGCCATATCTGCCGGCAGACACGATGGCCGGCCTCGCCGAAAAAAGCTACCCTCCAGGCAGCTATCAACCCTCGCAACCGTTCCCTCCCGCAACGAAATCAGCCTCATCGGGAAACTACCACCCTAAACTCTCGCGAGAATATATTTCGGCGGGAGCCCGCCTACGTGTCTGCGGCTCCCTTTCAATTTCCACGCGGTTCGCGGCCGCCCTTACACGAAGGAAAATATTTGCCGGAAACCGATACAACATGCGGCAAACAATATGCGCTCGGTGGTATCCAATAAATCCGGTAATAAAGTTCGCCGATGCTGAAAAACGAGAACGGCTGTAAATTTAATGAACGCTCTTGACATCGATCGAGCTTCCGGAAACGAAAAAGAAAATTTGCCCCCGTTGAAATAAAAAAAAAAAAAAATGATTTTCTCATTATTAAGATACTTGTTAAAGAGATTCTTCCGTTATTGATTCTTCACGCAAGAAAGTCCTTGACGTAATTAAGATGGTAACATAACGTAAATTACACATACTATCGTGAATAGGTAAGTACCCTGCGTGACCCGGGTCATGCGTATATATCTACGAAATCTAGATCAGACACGAAGTGGAAGATGGGTAAAGTCGATTGATTCCAGCTTGAATTATAAAACTTATTGTGCTCCCTAAAATTTCGCTCTGTAATCGAATCGTTAGTAAAAAATCTTTTCGTTCGATTTCAAAGAGAAGTTAATTGCAATGAGCTGCTGCTTCTTTCATGCAAAAATCTCGCGACGGTACATTCCATTACGATCGTCAATGCGGGCGTTGGCAAACTTACAAATTATTCAAGAGGGAAGGAATCTACTCTATCTTCTAATCTAATGGAATAGTTTCATAGATAGGTATTGCCTTTCAGAAAATTGACGGTCGTAAACATCCGAGGACGCGAGTTATTAATCTGGTTTGCGAGGAAATTACGCGATTAATAATATCATTTTTACGATCAATTAAATATCGTCCGATCACAATCGGAACATGCTATAAAGTAGTTGCCACATTATTTATTAAACATGCATTTGATAATGTTCCTGATAAAACTATTTTGCCAGATTATTCGAAAGTATTTGTTAATAAATAAATTACCGCGAGAAATGAACAAAAAAAATTTTTAACTTACAAGACAACGGAGAGAAATGTCAGTTGTATCATCATTCGAGATTAAGTTTATTCCACGCACGACCAACACTAACTACGCGTCTTCGATGCGATCGGTGTCACGCTGTCAAGCGCGAACTGTCAAGCGAGCCTTCTTTCTCTTCGTAGCGTCTCTCTCTCTCCACTAGTCTAATTGTGGCATCGCGACGGCGATCATCGCCGTCGGCAACCAAGCGCAAGAAGGACACCTTGTTAAGGATCACTGCGCGACCGGGCACGTCACGAGAAATCAGTCGTTTCACTCACTGGTGTCGGAATTGTGCACGGGAGTGGTCGCCGGTGTGCTAGGGGCCTGATGCTGCGTCGACTGCGTCGGTATCCCGAGGGAGGCGAGGAGCGGTCGGGACACTGCGCCCGGGGTGACGCTCGGCGGCGGCGGCGGGCTCTCCTGGCCTACGAGCAAACTCGCGGGCGGGAACCCGAAGAGCTGGGATCACTGGAGCCTTGGCCAATAGTTGCCCGTCAGGTCCGGAGTCTGCGAAGGTATCTGCACCGGCACCGAGACACCCGCCGATATCACTCCTGAAACAATTCCAAACCGTCGGAGGATTGAGCGCGCGTTGCGACAGAACGGGAACTGTCGAGGCTTTGAGAAATGGAACGACAAAATAAGAAGTATCTCTGAACGTGGGTGAAACATATCAAGAACAGATGACAAGATAAAGCCGTAGCACACATCGTGCAAGAGGCAAAAATTTAATTTTGTTATGATACTATATATTATCATTAGTATCAAAATTAATACATTATTCTAGTATGTAGTATAATTGCCTCTATTACTTTAATATTACAAAACACTCATCTTGTCTGCATATTTTACTATCTAATAGATAGTAAATTAATTCATCGATTTAATTCATTCCTTCCTTATAAAATATTACTAGTTGGTCACCATCCTGATTAAGAAAATTTATATAATTTCAGCGACTCGCGATGGACGTGAGTAGAACGCGTCGTTAATCGCGTGAAACGCAGGGACTAATTTGCTAAAAACGACCGGGTACGTATTTACGGAAGACGACGCGAAACGCACTCGCAAGTATCGCCCGTAGCGACAGATGCATAAATAGGATTCGGATATGATAGCGCACAGCGGCTTCGTACACTTCTGCAATTTGAATTAAACACCTTAACGAGCTGCGTCTAATCCAATATAAACTTCCGCGAAAACATTTACACTCTATGCGACATCGTGTCGTAACTTCATTCCTAGCGTAGGCTATAATTATGGCATAAATGCAAAACAGGCAATTTGGCGAGCCTTACGAGGATGCACGCATTGCATGCCATGATTACACGTTAACCGCGTAACCTACCTTATTTAATATTAACATGTCGTGAATATCGATACGCGAACTGATAGCGATACACTCTATAGTAGGAAAGATGTAATCTTGTTATCTATAATATTTATATACGCTTCTGAAATTTAATTCCCAACACCAGATATATAACATGGAACCACGTTTAATTCAGAAGTCTCGAAATAACTTCTACTTGATCGCGCGACTAAATTCTCAGATACCTTGCAGACATTCTACTGCATCTTAGTAATCTCCAGAATTTCATCTTCAGCTTCATATCCGACGAATGCTGTCACTTTGATGGTGGAAAGGATTAATCGAATATCCGTGACTCTCGTTCACCGTCCGTGTCCGCCAGCTGCGAGACAACTCGCGCGATTACGCTCGTTTCCGCGGTCGGACCCCGCTAACTCCGGGAGACGGCTACTTAGCTATGAAAACGGCGCCGTTAGAGTCATCGGGACACCGCGCGGCGCTAACGAGCGCGGTGAAAGTTCTTACGGCGCTCGTGCACGTAAAGCGATTATGATGGATAACCCGCAACCCGCGGCTCGTTCCGCACGTAAGGAGCGGGAACGTGCGGCGGTAGAGAGGAATAGTGAGAAAACGACGGAAGGGGGGGGGCGAAAGAGCGGAAAAGAAGAAAGGCGGCGAGAGAAGAGTGCGGAACGGCGAGAGGGACAGCGGAGGTGGGACTGTGGGACACACTGCGCGCGTGTTTCGCAGTATTCCACCATTCCGGCTTGCGCTCCGCTCCGTTCCTGTAGATACGCCGCGCACCCCGTATTTCCTCCCCTTTGGGTTCGCACGTTATTGAGCGCTCGCCCAGCCGAGGCGAGACCCAACCCATCCACATCCTCTGTTCACCCCTGTATATCCTCAGGAGGGAGAGGAAGCAAGAGAGAGAGAGAGAGAGAAACGGAGAAAGAGACGAAAGGGGGCCCGGAGGGTGACGAGAGGGACGGATAGATGGATAGACACGAAAGAGTGAGCGCACCCTTCGAGGGTGAAAGGGTGTAGGAGACGAAAGGGATGAGAGAAAGGGAGAGAATGAGGCGGCGCAGGCTGCGAGAGGAGGCGCGACCCTCCGTGGCTTTTGCTAAACGAGAGAAGCGAGGGGATGAAATGTGGAGATAGACGAAGAAAAGAGATAATAGGGACAGAGAGGAAGAGAGTAGGGAGAGAAAAGAAAGAGCCGAGCGGAGGAGCCAAGCGTACGTAAAAAGGAGGGAGGGTAGGAGAGTTGAGAAAATGGAAAATTCACCAGCTACATCGGCCGGGTTGGAAAACCGCCGAACATCCCATTCTTCGATTCAGCCCAGCGGCGCCATGCGAGATTTGTTTTAAAATCCTTTTACAATTCCGTGGGCGAGCGTGGAGCCGCGACCGCGCCGTTGCCCGCTCGCTCTTTCATCCTTCTCTTACACCCTCTTTCTCTCTCTCCCTCTCTCTCTCTCTCTCTCTCTCTCTTTCTGTTAGCAAGACTATGTAGATTGCGTGCGAAGAGGTGCTCCCAGGTAATTCTCGACGCTTTATTTCGCGCTTTGAGCCGACTAGAACACGGGAAAGAAACAGCGGCTGTGCCAAGCGAAAATTGGAAACGAAAACTTCTATTGGTTTTTGGCGTAGATTCGTTCGTTTTGTTATTGCTCTCTCGTCTTTGTATATGTCGTGTTTTCTCGCGAACGTCCAACATGGAAAATTTTCAAATAATCTAATATAAATATAACCGAAAGGTATAATTTAAGCAATTGGAAAGCTAAAAAAGAACTTTAGCAGCAAATATTCAGTTAATTCATATATAAAAAAGCTCTAGTATTTTTACTAAATTACAATGTAAGATTTTAAGCAAATTAAAAGAACTGTGACAAAATGAATAAAAGATAGTCAAACGAATTTAAGCCTGTTGAATAGAAAAAAATTTCGTTAAAAAAAAAATATATTTTTCCAAGATTCAATTGAGAATATCGCCTTAGATAAAATATTCTTTAATAATGATTTTGTTTGCCATCGATACATCGATGTTTTGGGACATCCTATACATCTGCTAAGCTAGATAAACATTAACCGCTCCTTGTCGCAAACAATATTATATTTTATGTTATTCTAAATAACCTTGAAAGCGAGAAACAGAAGAAATTAGTCGAGAACTCACCGGTCGCGGTCGAGGTCGTCGGTTGATAAGGTGCTCCACCTGGTCCGGTAGGTTGTCCCCCCGGCGTCGCGGGGGTGCCGCCGTGAGACGTCGGGATACCACGATGGGGTTGCGAGTGCGCGGCCGCGGCCGCGCTATGCGCGTGAGAATAGGACTGCGTAAGCGAGTGAAGAGGCTCGTGAAATACGTACGCCGGGTAGCCTTCGGCGCGTTGCTGAAGACAGCTTCCACCCATTGATCCGCCCAGGCTGCTTGACATGGAGCTACGGGCAAGAAAGGAAAACGACGGATAACACAACGCAAAACTATTATTGATACATATCGGCATACAGTAATGATAAGTTACTACAATTTAAAGTTAACATTTCCAGAAAGAAACTTTTTTTGCGAAAAAAATTGAACGAAATTTCAATTTGTACAAGACAATAAATATCCGTTATTGACCAAGTTATCGAACGTGTCCGATATTTATTCTTGCGTATAATTTTTGTATTTGTGAAACAAATGCTTTATCGAAATTCTCCTACCTATACGTGTCGGGCATAGTGGCGATTGGTTGCGGTATCGACGAGTACATGGCGTTGAATCCGGCGTTTAAGGGCAATCGTGGTGTTGCGGGGGTGGCCGCGGGAGGCGCGGCGCCGCTGCTACCTCCGCCGCTACCGCCAGCCACCACCTGATCGACGGCCGCTCTCCTCTGGTTCCGCAATTTCTCCTCTCGACGCCACTTTGCCCTGCGATTACTGAACCATACCTGCAACCGACACAATGACGTTGCCTTTGTCACGATAAGTGTGCAGCCGCACACTTGGCGCCGCCGACACGTTATTTCGCATCATCCGCACTCGTTCGCGCTCATTCACGCTTCACGATTCTCTTCTGCTTCCTCTCCGGAGAGAACACCCTCGCATCCTCCCTCAACCATCCTGTCGTCTCTCGCTCTCTCCATCTCGATCTATTCTGTTTTTTTGTTTGCGAACCGCTCGTGGATTTTTCGAGGTAGCGCGAAATCTAGCGCCTACAGACACTCCTTTTCGCATCTCGTGCATCACGGCCGCGCTAGTTTTTACGAGACGCTCTTGTAATTTGTTAATTGCGATTGAGCAATTGTCAGATAGGAAATTGATTTACTCTTGCTCGCTTGATCCCTTTCCGTTCAGCACCATTCTCCCGCGCACATTCTTTCTACATGTTTTTTATCTGTCACCCTTTCGCTGTCGCGCACTTACACGTGTCCCTTTTCAAGCGCCTGATTGTACTACAAACCGCATCAAATCCGGTATTCGAGAAAAAGTAATACTATAGATAACATACAATTGTATTCGCGTGAGTGTCACACTAATCGTATCGATTAGAAAAAAGGTCCTCCATTATTTCTATCTCCAATGTTATTAGATCTTTAAAACGTCGATTAACTTTAACTTTTATATCCCATCGACTTCTTATCTCTTTGCAGAATTATAATTAAAAGAAGGTAAAGAGCACGCGCGTCAGGAAATTATATAAATACGTTTGTGTCAAAATAATAAAAATAGTAAAGAATTAACAATGCCATCAATAATTGTCCCTTGATTATGCGTGGTATCTTAAATGATACGACACAAGATTATAAAATAAATCGAGACTTAAGTTCCTTGCAACGCCTGCACGGATTTTCTGATTTTTTGTGATTCTCTTCAGCGGTAAGAGGATTTGTCCCCTTCGATATATAGGTTTTCCCTCGTCGGCGCTTAGAACAATCCATGAACCGTGCATTTGGCTTTTTCGTAAGACCTTTTTTTTACATGTACACTGCAGCAGTCGCGTATTCAATCGCATCAATTTCACGGGCAGACAGTTAATTCGCTATGCTTTTGAATTGTTTTAACGCGCAACAAAATTATTTTGATATCATTATCTATGATTACACTTTACTTTTTTATCACAAACTTTATTGTCGCAATTTTTTTATACAATAATTATTGCATTTAATTGGCGAATATCGTATAACTTTCATGCAATCAAATGAATTGATAATCAATCGAAGAAGAGAGAGAGAAAAACCCGAGATTCTAATAAATTATATTTAATACAACCAAGGCAAGTTTTCGAAAGAGAAATTTACATGTTTTTGCATGCTACTGTGCACGGCTAAAAATAGAGGACAAAGCAATAACGGCAATTTCCATTCTTGTCGATTTTGGTGTAACGAATTACCGCGTGTGCGATACGGAAAAAAGGGGGATGTTTTTCGCAACGGAAAGAAATACCATCAACGTAGAAATACAAGCCTTCCGCAATCTCACGTATAACACCGAGCATGACGAGGGTCCTCGATTGAATCAAAAAATAAATTCCATCCTCCTGTCCTCCCGTTGGCGCAGCAAATCGTGTTCGACCATCCCACCGTCAAATATCTGCTATTCGCCCGCAGCGGGTTCCTTCCGTCCAATACCATCGTCCCTCGTAAACTCATCCTCCCTCATTCCGAAAACTCGTCCGAATCGATCCGTGCGAAAGTCTGTGATCCGAACATGCTCGGTGTTACTCAAAGAACACGGTCTCTCCTCCGAGCATCGTCAATGGCCGAAATGTAGCGGAGACCGGTTCTCGACGCCGGTTTCCGACCTTGGAACCCTCCGACCTTGAGCATATTCACGATGCGCCAACTGGCAGCGCAAGAAATTCGTTTGCTTGCACGTCTCGCTCGTGCTTTAGGAAATTAATGGAGCATATGACACTGTCATGTGGACTCTGCGAAATATCTCATTTCGATCTAAGGAAAGGATATAAACGAGTTGAAAAAAAAATTTTCTTTTCCAAAAGAAAGTACTCGCAGTGATTCTAACGGCAGATTCCGCAACACCTAATGTCCTAATGACTTTATGCTTTATTTTTTGTGCTTGTTTTTACTTAGCGCCCTCGAAAGCATACATCGAAGAAAAATCCCGCTTAATCCTCATGTAGCGTATCGGCCATCGCGCTCGCACAAGTCGACTTAGGGAACGCCGAGGACGATAATCGGCCGGCGACGGACGTGCCAGCAGCACGACGACGTGGCCGTGGTCGGGGTATATAGGTGGAAAACCGAGGGCCAATCGGAGGGCGACCTCCCTCGGGACCCGACGTTGCCATGGTTGCGTCCGAGAACCCTCTTAGGCCTTCCGCGCGATCCCTCGCGGCTCGGGCGGGTTGCGTTTACATGCCGCGCCATGCCGCACCAAGCCGCGACGCGCGTTACGTTTTGTGTTCCATCAGAGTGCCGGCATTTCACTCTTCGTCTTTCACATGCCATCCGAGGATCGTCCGCAACGATCGGTCTAACTCGGCGATCTTCGCGATTCTCCTCTTATTACCCTCTTTGCTCGACTATCTTTTTCTATTCTCCCTCTTTCGGTTCCCCTCGGTTTCACTCGGTCTTCCTTCATTCTCTTTATTTCTCTCTCTTTCTCTCTCCCTCTTTCCTCTCCCTCTTTTCCTCGTCGAACTTCTCCTTTTCCCTCTCGCGCCGGAACTCCCGGTTTCCTGCACTTAGCAAGATCAATACCAGCCAACGAGGCTTGAAAACATGCGTCAACATGGTCTTGCACTGTTTGTACGTCCACATAACGCTCAGCGCGCCCGGTTACTACCACCACACCAAACCCCGTCGGCCACTTCGCCGACCCTCCCGTCTCTTCATCGCGACGGTCCAGGTGAGAGGCGGGTGAGAGGAGGGTGAACGCGGTCAAACAATATTCGATAAGGCTACGTATATATTAACAGCTCAAAATGTTGATATTATAATTGTAATTATATGCAACATGGTATTTTGCATCTCCCTTATGATTAAAAAGTAAAAGGGATATTATTAAAATGGAAATTGTTAAATAGCAGAAAGTGTCAACAAATATTGTGCAAATGTTTGCATACATAATATTCAATTAATGACATTGAAAATAACAATATTTCGATATTTCTAATAATTGTTTAGAATAGGTTATTGTATGACAGACGAGAATGTACAATAATTTTAACCAGCAGAATTGTGACGCAGCTGTCAAGTTATTTATGACAAAATGCAGCGAATAATGTAACAGATTAAAATAGAACTGATAATGTAACCGGTTGACTCGAACAATTAAAACTCGATAAGCATTTAAAGAATATAAAAAACATTGTAAAGACATAAGTAAAGGCGTCTTAAGATTCCAAATATCCGAATGTTTTTTTAGAAATATCTTGAATTCTTGGACTGTTTAATTCTGTATTTATATCACAGGAAATTGAAACGTGTTTTTTTTTGTCATGTCATATGAATGTGAATGTTACTTCGTGATGAAAGAAGAAAAGGGATGAAAAATTTGCGGAAAAGATACAAACAAGAAATCATTGCGGTCTTCACCGCTTCCTTTAAATGCGAACTAAAGTTTCACGAGTTTTCCTGATTTTATAATTTAAATGAATGTGATTCTGATCTATCGAGACTTTGTCTCTCTCGTTCTTCGTGATTCTTGACTTTGCCAATGCAATCAAAGATTCTTCGAATTTGTCGAACTTTCCAACTTCTTCAGAACGTTGACCGACATTTAACTATCATCTCACGATGTTCCATTCAATAGAGCATTTGAGATTAGAGTTTGTGTTTCCATATTTTTGTCGTTTATTAAATTATAATTCATCGAAAAATGTATTTTTAGAATCGGATATAGAGAATAGAAATAGAACGTAATACAATGAGATACTTATTATTATTAATTAATTAATGCACCATGTCTAAGAAATGTATGTACCATTCTAGCATCTTTCTAAACTAAATTCTAATAAATAGATAAATTGCGTGATTATCTATCGCACTAATCGATGGGAAAAGTAATGAGTGCACGTAAATTCCCTATAAGAATTTATAAATGATGGCGAAGTAGCGAGCGAAAGAGGTGACAAAATCCCATTGGGAGTCTCACGAGCAGCTCCAAGCTTACCGTCGGAGGTATTTAATGTTCTTCACGTACAACCACGTGGTCACACGTTAAAAGCATTTAATGAAAGGGCGTCGTCGCACTTACGCCAGTCGACCCTCCCGGGAGGAACGGACGGAATAAGAAGAGAGAAAGACGCACCCGCGGGGAAAACGAGGAAGAGAGGAGAGAGAGAAGATGTAGGGGTTGCAGAGAGAGGGACAGTTGGGTGGAGCGAGTGTCGGTGGAGGAAGCGCATACACGCCGCATTCGCACATTCACACTCACCTGGATACGTGCCTCAGGTAATCCGATCTTCTCGGCGAGACGCTCCCGTGCAAACACGTCCGGGTAATGTGTCCGCTCGAATTCTGAAATGAAACCAGTTTGCAACAAGTGCTCGTTATTTAGCCGCATCGTCGGCATTAATTATCGCGATACACGGAGCTTGCCGGCCATCGCGCATTTTCTCTCAACCGACGAATACCAAAGACCGTACTGAGAAGACTAAAATCTTGACGTTGAGATATTGACTTTGTGTTGCGAACGAATATATAACAAAGTTATAGTTTGAAGCTTGAGTATAGAGACTGCAGACTAAGAAGTTACTTACAAGTATTACGTTTAATTAAATTAAAAAAAAGAAAAGCAACGGTCAAATGAAACAAAGAATTTGCAAAGAAACACATGATTTATGGGAAACCGTATACAAAGACATGAACAGATTGTCAAGATTGATAACTTTTTGATTGGATTTTGTACTAACCTTTCTCGAGGCTGTCTATCTGCTCGTTAGAGAAGGAAGTTCGGTTGCGCTGCAATTTCCTTTTCAGCCTCAGCCGCACCTGCGAGTCCTCATCTCCGGAGGAATTGTGTTCCGAATTACCGTCCGAAGTTGTCTCCTGCTGATGCGACAATAAAGAACCGGTATCTGGAACAAGAATTAATTGCTTCTATTTTAATCTATTGTTCCATTAGTCTTAAATATGTTTCGCTCATTTGCGATTATAATTAAATTAATATTGATCCATTTCACAGACAAATTATTACGTATAATTATTAATCGCATTCACAGATGATCGAAAAATATCTGACATTTTTCTCCCATTATAAGAAACATTGCGATCTAATTAAGAGGTCCCACTATTTAGTCGATCATCGGCCGATCTTGTAACACGATCCGCCGTTCTTGAGATTCCTAGATACCGCCGCGCGTCCAGGCGTATGCGACCGGTCTTCGAGGTCGCGTCTCGTGTTGGTACGTCGGTTCGTACGCGCGCGAGCGTAGCCCCTCGTCAAGCCCTGTAGGCCGCGATTACTTTCCGCCTCCGCGCATCGCACCCTCGTCTCTTTCCATTCCTCTCGATACCTTCCCGGCGTCTCTCCGTACCTCCGCTCTGTCCGTATTCGTCCCTCCGCATCGCGCGGTGGAGAGATGTACATATATACGTACGCCCTTACGCTCGCGTATATAGGTATGTGTATGTATATATATATATATATATACTGTTCGCTCGTCAGCTGCTCGCTTTCTCGTTCGCTCATCTCAACCCCCGCGCAACCCCCAATTGGACTCGACCCGACGAAACCCCCTCAACTAGAAATACCGGCACCCCAAACACGCCTCTATCTCTCTTTCTCTTTCTCTCCCCCTTTCCTATCTCCCTTTCATTCTTCCTGCCTGCCTTATCACCCTAACCGTCTGCCCCCGTTCGTCTTCTTCCCGTGAAACCCACCCACCTCCTCGCGAATATCCCTGCGAGTAACGACCAGACCGGGAACGATCCTCGGCGATCCGCTGCAGACGGATCGTTGGCTTTAATTTTCTAGGTGACGACGCACGCCCGGCGAAGAAAGAGAGGAGATTAGCCGATGCTCTCTACGATCCGCTCGCTTAATGCGCCCGCTCCGGCCAAAGTGGCAGCGATCGACTGTTCGATGCATTCCTGTGCATTCGAGTGTGCCCTCAACGGCACTTAACGAATGTATAACGTGAAGTATAAACCATTATTTACAAGTAGCAGTGTTTTCGAGGCGTTTAATTAATATAAATTTTAAGATTATGTATTTTTGTCTCATTTGTCTTTATTTGCGTTAGTTCTAATAATATAATTATATATTAATAAATCTAAACGTGTCATCTGATTAATCTACAAAAATAAAATTTGATACTATTCTAATTTAAATTTATTTATTGATAGAATTTATTGAAGAAAATCTCAAATTTTGAAATGATTTTAGAAACACTTTCGAGTGCGCGGAAAATACATTCGCAATGAAAGCACTTTTCTACCTGTCATTTTACCGCAGTTCACGTAATCTATCTATTGAGAGCGACCGGCATCTGGATTTGTCATTCGCGGACTGATTCTGGCTATAAGAACCGAGCCGCAGGCCCGATTTCAGTGATCCTATTAGACTTATAGCGTTGTATGGCGGATCCCTTTTCCCTACTCGACCGTGTATGTATACGTACATTGTACGAGGTGTCAAGGACTTAGAGTCGCAACAAGCCTCGAATAAGATAATGCGCGAGAAAAGATATAATATAGTAATTCGAAGATATCTTTAAAATTGAGATCGTATATATTTTAAAAGCAAATATTTTCAAAAGTTTATCTAAATAAATTAATGAATGCTTTTGGGTTACGTAATTGCTAAGATGATAGCTAGAACACGTTAACAACCAATCTTAGTATTTCTACACTTTATTACGATAGATGCAAAGTAAATGAAAACTTACCGCTCCGCTTCAGCAAAGAATCATCGCGCCCGTGAAGTTGACTACCGGGCAAGAGAGTCTGGCCGGATCCAGGAGTTGCCGCCGTTGGAATTCCCGTGGCCAAGGGATGATGGGAAGGTGTCGCCGAATACCACGCTGGCGGCCAACCTGCTGCCTGCCCGTTGAACATTCTCAGCTTATCGTAGACGCTCTCTGCGCCCTGATGCGCTTGCACCGCGGCCGCCTGTTGCTCTTTCTGCGAGGCCAGGTTCCTGAGTACCCTGTTAATGGACGACACCTGCGAAGAAAAAGAAATTTCCGGTGAAAATCAATTATCCGTATTATTTATTAATTTAATTCTATATCAGAGCCAGAGAGAAACTGCAAAATATCTGTGATACTTTTCATTGAATTACTTATACTGAATTCTTTTTATAAAAATTATAAATAAATTTAAAAATATCATAAATTTGTTTCTAATTCTCATAAAATAAAAAAATGTAGTAAAAGCAAATTATTATTGCAAAGTAATATTTACTTTATTTTAAATTTTACATAAATTTAAAAAAATGTAGTTTTAATATGTATATAGATAATATAATTTTTAATATTAAGTGTACAGATACCCCTCTCTAAATTATTTTTGTGTAACTAACGATCTATGGATAAAACTGAAATCATCAATACTTTTTAATTTTTAATTATTTATAATTCTAAAACTGTATAATTGTGGAACAATGAAATATCTTTTTTTTAGTTTTTTACTTTTAACATTTTTAATTTAAGAAAAAAGAATATCTCTTAGAGAGAAAAAATTACGCTATTTTTTAACACTAATGACTGGCAATGTATCCCTGTGCACAAGATACCTCCGTCATTCACTTGCGACGGATCAAGAAAAAGAGAGATACAGAAGCGAAACGGACCGGGACGCGGCTCTTTGTAAACTCTCGCGACCGCAGCCACTCGTCGTCGCACGAGAATCATTTCCGTCGTCGTATCTGTGCACTGATTGTCCGCCCCCTCGCCGTCTCTCACGCGGGATCCTTCTTCCTCTTTTTCGTCCTCCCGCGGTCGGGGGATGCGAATGGGAGCGGGGATCGTATCCAGATGAAAGGACACCGCCATCCAATTATTATTACATAAAACGGTCTCCACGGCTCTTTGTCCCCTTCCAATCCAAGCGCGGTTGTCGTCGTCATCGTCTTCATCTTGCGTCCGCGACCGAGCCACTGGCTAACTCCAAAGTTATAACGAGCCCGCGCGTATAACATGGGGATCCAAGCATCGCACTCTCGACTTGCACATAATGGTCCTCGGCGCGCTCCATACGCACACCAAATCCGTTCTCTACACATCCTTCTGCACTGAGCTTGGTGCACCAGATATACATGCACAGCCGTTAATGCAACGGACGTCGGATATCGAGCGGAGCTTCTTAATTACGAGGTCGACCGAGAACTTCGACAAGAGCGGCATGAGTGCGCGCAAAGCCGATCCTTCTCGCATAGTTTGACTTAAAACCGACGGAATAATGGCCGGGCGACGCCGAGAAAACGTCGTTAGAACAGTAGGCGACACGGCCGTCTATTGGAACCGGATTAAAGACGAGGTACCCTGACTTCGCAGATGGTTTGATTATGCCCGGTTATTGCATACATTCTTGATTATTGCATTTGCTATCGTAGAGAATCGGAGTTTCCGAACATGTTCTTAATTATTAACGTAACGATCGCTACAATGTGACGAAGTTGATTAAATGGTTCGGAAAGAAGCAGGATTTCATTTGAAAATTCAATTCCTCGGGGATACTCGAGTATTGAAAAATATTGATTCTCGATGATTTTATCGGTCGACATCTACCATGCCTGTAGCTCATCGAGTATACGTAATTCCAACCGTCTCGGCTTGTCTCGATGCCGTGAGATAATAACAGGCGGATAGCGGAAGCGACGTTTCGAGATGAGTTAGCTCCGGCTAACCCAGACCAGGCTCTCCGTCATCAGACCGTCTATCCAGCCTGGATACCGAGAGAGAGAGAGAGAAAGAGAGAGAGAGAGAGAGAGAGAGAGAGAGAGAGATTCCGGCTGTACGCTCCGCACCGCTCCACTCTCGCCGCACAACAGCCGCAGCGTCGATGCAGACCATTACACGCGCGACCGGACACGAATAATTGTGCAACACGCTTAACTGATCCCATTCACCCTGATTCTACCCGCTCCCGTTCGCTCTCGCCGCCGACTAACCCCCGCCGCACCCTCAGCATCACCCTCGGCGCGATGTGTACCAGCCACAACAGCCAACGCCACCGCCGACGCTACCAGCGATCCACTAGTACTCGAGAGAGGATCGAAACGATCGAAAGAAATTGCCGTCAGTCAAGTAACGTATTTTCTTTGTCTCATATCGTTAGTTAATGTTCGAGAACAATTTTAGAATTATTCTATCCACTAATAATTTCGAAAATTTTGTATATTGATTTTAGATATATTTAGATACATTTTAGATATATTTTACGGTAGAAAACTTAAAAATTACAAAAATGTTATTAATAAACCAACACCTGTGTCATTTTGCAAAGAGAGAATGTATGATAAAGATTAAATCCAGTAAAGTGATAGATATACTATAGAGTGATGTTCTTTCAAATGTAACATCGCTACTGACCGATGCATTACATGCTCGACGACAGGACGACACGTGCTAGACATTCTGATTGATCACCCTGCAACCTCCCACATATCCCCCACCAACTTTCTTTATTCGGCGATTCCTAGGAACACACCGGTAAGAGCGAAGTTCCTCCACGAGCCGATGGATAACGACTTGTACGCGTGTCATCCCCCTTCCTGACGGTATCCGATAGGGAGAGTATTACCGGGAGGGAGAGTGTTCTCGAAGAAGCCAGACGAGGACGATCGACCGCGCGAAATATTCTCGTAGGTCGATCGGCAGAAGGGATCGCAGGGTTTGGGCAGGATGTTTGGTAGACGAATAGACGTACGACCGGAGAGGATTCTTCGAGTTCGAAGAAGGGCGATCAGCGCCCGGGAGGGTGGACAATGCCGAGGTCCGCGTAATGGACCGATTACCCCACCCAGCCGATCGCATTGACGAGACTTTGATTAGGGTCGAGTGGCCGGATCCGACGGGTAAGTACACCCGACCGGCTGCGCGCCATGATAAGTCGACGGCGGATTATGCGTAAACTTATACCGTGTCCAATCAATGGACCAATATGACGCCGACACAGCGGGAAATTTATTCGCACGCGTCGCGGTAGATAGTACGATAAATCTATGCGAGTCGTGGCTTGCAATCTTAAAAAACTGGAATTTGTGCAATATGCCCGCTTAAACTTATTCTATATTTATTTTAATATACGATTCTACTACACTGAGATATTTACTCAAATAAAACATTTAATATAAAAAAAATTATCATATTAATTAACTATCAGTCTTAATTACATTAAGCAAATTTCTGAATTCGACATTTTTACTTACGCTGGGTATATTGTCGTTATTGCAAACGCCCTCCTGCAAAAGTCGATCGCGAATTTCCCAGGCGAAGATCGAAGGACATTCTCGTTTGTAGTCGGCGATTTTGTTGACCACAGGTGTTGTTGCCACCCGTGGCTTACTACCACCGATCGCCCGTGGCTTGATCGAACCAGTCTCGTAATACCTGCGAAAGGGGAGATTGTTATTTTCGCTTAATGCATGTTAACGTTACGTCGTGGCAAGCCTTTTGAACATAGTATGGTTATTGAAAAAAAAATGTGAGAAACTTTATAAAAAGGGTATATCAGTGGGTGAAAGCTCTAACTTTATTAATATCCTGCAATTCCTGCGAGAGAATTGTAACGTGATGATCATGGAAATGTAACGTGAAAAATTGAGATGTAATGTAAAATTTGCTTGTTATCATATATCCAATTATTTTAAAATCTCAGCATCAAAATAAAATTATTAGAAATAAAAGGAAAATTTTGTCACAAATATATATCAAGTGGCTTCATTACTAATTATATCAAAAAAATGCAGCAGTTGTGTTCTATATCCATTGAATTTGATTAATTGAATTTAGACGGCGCAATCATACATTTCATTATTACTCAAGTGTCGCATAACGATTTAATTTCTCTCGAATGGCCTCACTCATAATTTCGAAAGAGAAATAGAGATCAATATGCGTGCTTACCTGCCAAGGATCTTGGAGACACATCCGTTGCTAACCTGCAGTATGCGTGATATATCGCACGGTCTGGCCCCGCTATGGGCCAGTTCGACGATTTTCTGCCTCGTAGAGTCCGGCAACGGACGGCCATTGACGTAAACGCCGCCGAGCTGGTTAACCCCGCTGTGTCCTGCAGCCGAGCACCCAAATATTGAGTTCTGTCCGACCATAGACCCCCCGCCAATACCCGCACCACCC